ACCAGTCTCTGATACCATTTGAAGGAAAAATTATAATCTAATTCTTAATATGACAAGTGATAAAGAAATACTATAATGAGATCAGTGTTAGAATTACTCGGAACAGTTGAAGTTGATGAGTCCCAATAATAATAATCATACAACCATATTCGCTGATAAGCCTAATAACAATAATTATTTATAATATGGGCTAAATAATTTAATTCAATAATTTTGACATTTAATTAATCTAGATTTAAACAAAATTTTACAGCATGAATTAATTTATGTTAGTCCACTCATAAAATATCCAACAAAACAGGCATATGTTGAGCTTCACTCTTCTTAATTCAGTGTTCATCATGTTGCACTGCATATCAGTTGGCTGATTGCTTAATTAAATTATCATTATCTAAGGTCCGACATCAACATTTGCTGAATAACATTGGCGTCTCTGACGAATCCTCAATTGTCTGTTGTATCTTTTTTTTTTTTTTTTAATTTTACATTAACTTAACTTGTAAGGGATCAGTCCCAGTGCAGCTATAATGAACTAACAAACTTGAATCTAATCTAGATTTTTAACTCCAATTAACTCAAATTTCAACTGAGTACAGCTTCTTAATCAAATTTTTGCACATTATTATTGCTCTGTGTATTAATTGAATTAGATTATTAATCTCTTGGCTACAAGCAAATTGATTTCCATACTCAACTGTCAAAAATTTCTTACAATGTGATACTTGAATCATTAATCCCAATGGACAATATTTTGTTACTATATTAAGATTTGGTATACTTGTCAAATTATTTATCACAAGCCTAAAACTGATGGTGGTCTTGGCTTTAGGGATCTTAAGACCCTTAACAAAACTTACCTAATGAAGTTATGGTGGAGGTTGACAACGTCTCATGGTGTTTTGTGGGCTCAAGTTCTTCACAAGTATAAATTTAAGATATATAGAAAAAGGTCCTAGACTCAATAACATTTATCAAGTGTTTCATCTTTGGAAGGACTTTATCACTGTTTGGCCCAACTTCAATCAAGGGCTAAGTTGGAAGTTGGGGGATGGTTTAACTACCAAATCCTGGTATGATAATTGGACCTCTTAATTTCCTATATGTTATCTGAGTTTTCTAAGATTCTTGTGCTTGAACTTGACTTGGACCTTCTTCTTCTAATAACAGTTGAGATTGGAAGGAATTATCCAAACTTCTCCCTGACCATATCTGCCAATTCATAACCCTTATAGAGCCTCCATCTAGATTAGGTGCCTCTGATTTAGTTTACTGGAACAGAACTAAAAATGAAATTTTTTTTAATCAAATCTGCTTATAATTTAGTGCAGAGACTTGAACACATCTCTAAGTATAACCAAGAGATTTTTACACTGATTTGGCGCTGGGATGGCCCACCCAAATTAACTCTTTTTCTTACTCATGAGATACTTCTCACTAACGAGGAGAGATGTAAGCGAAATATGACTTACTCCCCTTTGTGCCCAAGATGTAAGAAAGCCCCTGAGATCATTATGCACATCTTTAGGGATTGTTTTTATACTCAGTCAGTCTGGGATCATTTTGTTTTCCTTCAGTAATGGGTGGCTTTTTAAGTAAAGGAATCTTAGAGTGGTTAGTTTTTAATCTATCTAATTAAAATTGTAGCTTATTCTCTGATTGGAAAAGAATATTTGAGACAATTATTTGAAATTTATGGAAAGATATAAATACTTTTGTTTTTCAAAGTGTATCTTTCCAGCTTATTTGTCTTACTCATAAAATTCTTTGTAATTTTAACTACATGTTTTTCTGCTGCAGGGAGACCTCCAGCTATATGAAACAACTAATTTATCTTCAAAATATGGTGAAATGGATGTCCCCTCCCCCTAGTCACGTGAAGCTGAACATGGATGAAGCTGTTTCAAGGTTGCATGGTAAAGCAGCCTGTGGAGGGCTTGTTTGTGACAGCAGAGGACAACTACTGGTTGGTTTCAGTAAAAAAAATCACTCATTGCTCTTTAATGGAAGCTAAACTTTAGGGCATCTATTTTGGGGTTCAACTAGTCCTAAAGCAAGTTTTCCATTGAGTCTGGATTGAAAGGAATTGCAAACAAACTATTTGTCTTATTCAAAATGTTCAACCCCCACTCCCATTCATTGATTGAGGTGATTGAGAAAATTAGGAGCCTTTTAAGTTGTATAAACATATTAGGCAGGAGTACATTTGTAGAGAAGCTAATTATTGTCGGTCAAATTAGGCTTGGAGGAGTCCTAGTTTGCCCCTTCTTTTGATAAGGCCCCCTCCATGCTAATTCCTTTTTTGTGTCTTGATTCTCTAGGCATAGGATTTTTCAGAAATACTATGTAATTGTTTTTTTTTTTTTTTGGGGTTGTTTAGCCCTTTTATGTAGCAAAATAAATTAATAAATAAATAAAATAATAGTGTTATATTACTATTATAATTTTTTTTTAAATGTATGAGTGTCTTAGTTGGTATGCCAATCTAATTCCTAAATTTTATAAATAATATAAATTGTTTGCTTTTATTCTTATGGACTTTTTTCATTTAATTTGTATACATATAATTAATTATTATACATAAATTTTTATTGTATATTTTCAGATATATATTAAAAAATTGTTAAATTAAAGCTTGTAACACAATTTATCAACCCCTATCTTGTTAAAATTTGTTATTATTAAATAGCACAATTGTCAAAATGAGTCGTGACTCATTAGTTAATTTAACTCATTGCAGATGTTTGGGTGAATTAGGTTAAAAAATTTAATTCGTTATAACAAAAAAAAAAAATTCACAAAATCTTTTATTAATTTCGACTCTATTATTTAACTTATAAGTTAAACGAGTGAGTCAAATCAACTTATCAATTAAAATTTATATTTAAATTTTTTTATAAATGATAATAATAAAATGTTAACATTATTTTTTTTTATAGATTTTATATTTTTAATATTTTCTTTATGTTTTTTATGCAGCAAGTTAACATGTAAAATAATTCACTGAATTAATAAATTTGTTTTCTGGGCGAGTACTGAATTACTAGGTTAAATCAAATTAATATTTTTTAATTTACTACTGATTAGATTCACTCATCTTAATCCACCCTAGTAGATGAACCGAGACTCATTATTACTGATTTAATTTTTAGGTCAAAGAGACTCACTATTACTAAACAACAACAATTGATGTGATTAGATGATTTGATTATAATTTGGAGCAAATGCTCCCATGGTCCCACCTCTCACTAAACTATGCTAGCTTGTATCTATAAACTATCACACATATTGGGTTAAGTATTCTTTTATAATAAAAAAACATAAAATTTATACAAATAATTTAATATTATTGGTGAGAAGATTAAATAGTTTAGGATCATAACATAAAATAGTTAAATCTGTAGTATAGTTAAATTGGTGAGAAGATTACATAGTTATATCATCACATGCAAAGGTATAAAATAGTTAAAAATAATAATATATTTTCCATTGACATAAAATGAAAAATATTTACAATATTGATGACATAACTTGATCGATGAAATTTTTTATAACATGTCTCATTACTAAATATTTAATTACTGTGTAACAAAATCTTATAGGAGTCAAGGTTAGACATACATGTGTTGCAGCAAAAAAAGGAGATAAGATAAGTCACACACGGGACATCACAAGCCGTTGAATTTTTGTAGCTTTGATTAAGGTAATATATAAACATTTGTAATTTTATATACATAGATCTAACTTGTTAAATAAATACATCTTGTTTATAACAAATTAATATTTAATTTATTATGATCAAATAAAAGGTAATATTAAAAATTTATATTATACAATATAATTATTCAAGTGTTAAATCAGTTAAATTGTTATTATACTCACTTTATAGTTTCTATGAAGTATTTATTGTGTTTTTCTGGTTTTCTCTTAATAAATACAAAGAAAAAGTCCACTTTAATTCTATATTTTTGGTCATGGGTAATTTAGATACTGTATTTTTAAATTATGTAACATAAGATCTTATATTTACTAAGACATTCGATTTTATCGTTATAACTCTTAAAAAAAAATATGTGTGTTATCCTTTTATAGTTTTGGTCATGTGTAATTTAAACCATAGGTTGCCCTCCATGCTTATCAAATTGTACTTCTTCTATTGTTAATTTTCTGTGTGTTTCTCACATGCATATATTTTTAAATAAAAATACTGCTAAATGAAGTTAAATTAAAAGTCTCATTAACTAAAGAATTTTTTTAATTCAATTTACGGTTCATTACGTTGCATAATTTAAAAACTCAAGATATAAATGATATATAATTAAAGTATATAGAAATAAAGTTTAACGAGAATAAATATTTATAATAAAGTTAAATACAATTATATTAAATGAAGATAAAATTAGATATCATATATCGTAATTATTTTTAAAAATCAAGAAAATTAACTAATTTTAATTAGTTTTATTAATTTGTGTAACTTAGTTGAAAGTCCTTTGTAAAAAAGATAAAATAAAATATATTAAATAAATGAATGTATCTACTTATATAAATAATGAATGAATGTATCATTAATACAATTTTTATAATAAAATATAAGTATAAGAAATATTTAACAATTAATGTATATAATATCAATTATTATTTCTTATAAATAAGATTAAAGTAGCATTAAATAATATTTTTCTAACACGTGTTTAAAAATATATGTTAAAGAATATTAAATTTGTCTTATTAAACACTTTAACTTACTTTTTAAAAAATCATTGAATATGTTTTATAATTTTTAAATAATAAATATTTTTATTTTTAATAAAAAAAATTGTATTTTTTACTACCGTGCCCATGCATCAGAGAAAAAAAAAAACCGATTAAACAATGACCAGGAAAGTCCAAGTCTCACTCTCAAGACGGACTTCAGCAATGCCCAATAGTGAGTTTCTAAGGATAGAGAGAGTTTTCTTCTCGTCTCAAAGTATAGTAGAAATCAGAGCTGGACTACAAAAATGGCAGAAAAAGGGGTGTCCTTTGCTCGTGATCGCTTGATTCCATTCTTTACAGAAGCAGCCTACATGATCAGGGGTGTACCATATGAAGTTTCGGACTTGAATAATGAACTAGAAATGATTCAAGCCTTCGTTCAAGATGCAGATAGAATGATTGAAGCTGAAGAAGACAGCAGAAATGAAGAAATCAAAAGAAGGTTGAGGGTGTTAATAGAAGAATCTTTTCACTTGGAAGATGTCATTGATGAGTATATGATCTATGAGAAGCAACAACCTTGGAATCCTGGATGTGCAGCGGTAGCTTGTGAGCCAATTAAATTCATCAAAACTATGATCTTTCGTCTTCAAATGTCATATAAGATTCGAGACATGAAATCACACCTTCGTGCAATCAATGAAAGCAGTTCATGTGATCATGGCTTCAAAATCTCAGCTTATGTAGATCAAGGACAGTGCAGTTCAGGAGAAAACCGAAACAATCCATGGCAGAGGCTTAGAGTAGCTCCTCTTTACATGAATGAAGATGAAATTGTGGGCTTTGAAGCCCCTAAAAAAGAATTGATTGATTTGTTGGTAAAGGGTTGGGCAGAGAGAACTGTCATATGTGTGGTAGGAATGGGAGGGTTAGGAAAAACCACTCTTGCCAAAAGTGTTTTTGACAACAAGGTGGTGGTTGAGAACTTCGAGTGTGCCGCATGGATCACAGTGTCTCAGTCCTACACTGAAGAAGGATTGTTGAAGGACATGTTGCTAAGATTTTGCAAGCGAAGCAATGAGGCTCTTAGGAATATTTCTACACTGGAACGAGGTTTATTGATAGAGGAATTGAGAAATTACTTGCGTCGAAAGAGGTACGTTGTCTTCTTTGATGATGTATGGGATCCATATTTTTGGAATGTGATTGAATTTGCTGCACTTGATAATTCTCTAGGAAGTAGGATATTAATCACAACTAGGAACGTGGATGTTGCAATGTCATGCCAGAGCTCTTCTTTTGTTCATATTCATGAGTTGAAGCCGCTATCTCGAAAAGAGTCTTTGAGGCTCTTCCACAAGAAGGCATTTCAATTTGAACCTAATGGATGTTGTCCAACAGAACTCGAGGGCATATCCTCTGAAATTGTTGCAAAATGTGAGGATAATCCACTAGTGATTGTGTCAGTTGCTGGTCTTTTATCTTGCAAAGCCAAAGATGATTTTGAACACTTTAGTCAAAATCTAAGTTCAGAGCTTAAGAAGAATTCCTTTTTCAGTGGCATAACAAAAATTATCAGTTTAAGTTATGATGATTTGCCTCACTATCTCAAATCGTGCTTTTTGTATTTTGGAATGTATCCTGGTGACTATGAAGTTGAATCAAATAGAATAATTTGGCAATGGATAGCTGAAGGGTTTGTGAAACCTGAGGCTGGAAAAACTTTAGAGGAAGTTGCAAAACATTATTTAACTGAGTTGGTTAACAGAAGTTTGGTGCAAGTGTCTTCTTTTGCCACTGATGGTAAAGTTAAAGTTTGTCATATTCATAACCTAATACGTGAAATGATCCTTATAAAATTTAAGGATTTAAGATTCTGCCAATATATTAGTGACGAAATTGATCAATCTGTCTTAAGTGGTAGGATAACCCGGCGCCTATCGTTAGCAACCAGTTCCTATGATTTAATTGGAAGTATTGAAAGCTCACATGTTCGTTCACTTCTTTTCTTCACCAATGAAGAATTACATGAATACTTTGTGAGGGAAATCATTACAAAATATAGGCTATTGAAGGTGCTTGATTTTGAAAATGCTCGATTGTATTGTGTTCCTGATAATTTGGGAAATCTACACCAGTTGAAGTATTTAAGCTTCAGGAATACACGAGTAGAAAGTCTTCCAAAATCCATTGGTATGCTCCAAAACTTGGAGACCTTGGATCTAAGGCAAACAGGTGTACATGAGATGCCAAAGGAGATTAGCAAACTTAAAAAGCTACAACATCTTTTGGCTAACAGAATGTCCTTGATTCTGTTGAGGGATTGCATTGGAGGCATGACATCCCTACAAACTTTGCATGAAGTGAGAATAGATCATGATGGAGTGGATTTAATCAGAGTTAGGAATGCTTTTGGCGTTGAGGAAGTTGGGCTTGACTAATGTCAGGAAAGATCATGGAAGCACTATATGTTCTTCAATAGATAAGATGCATCGGTTGGAAAAACTATATATTTCTACAGAAGATGATAATGATGTCATTGATTTGGATTTCCATTCATCCCCACATAAGCTTCACCTACATGGGAAGTTAAAAAAGTTTCCAGAGTGGATTCAAGGCCTCAACAATCTTCACTTGATCCTGTCTAGATCGAAGTTAACTAATGATTCATTGAAGTTGCTAGAAAGAGTGCCAAATTGTTGAAAAGTCAAAAATGGTGTGCCAATTTTCGGTACCTAACATTCGGTTGAATGTTAGCGTTTTCGGTGCCAAACGCGTTGCGAATTCAGTGCCAACGCGTTTTGTTGAAAATCAAACGGTTCATTTGCCTATAAATACGAAGCTCTTCCATCCATTCTACGCATCCCATTTCTGAGAGAACAACTGAAAATATTCAGAGAGCAAAAACAGAGAAAATAGTTTAGCTTCTGATACAATTGGGTTACGGGTTGTGAATGGTTGTGAGTCATTTTTGAGTGTTTTGTAAACACTGAGTGTATTCCCTTTTCAGTAATATATCTGCAGCAGTCCGGAGACGTAGGCATTATTGGCCGAACTCCATTATCAATTTTGTGTGTGCAATATTCCACATTTATTTTTCACTTCCACAAATCTGACATTACAAGAAAATTCGGCGTAATTTTCCCAACAACTGGTATCAGAGCCAGGTTGTTAATTCTGCAATTTTTGTGGTGTTACTATTCATATGAATAGTAAAGTACTATTCCGTGAATAGTGAAAACGTGAATAGTGCAAATTTTGTCGGCGCTACAAATTTGTCTACAGACGTGTTCTGAAACACGGTAGTTCACAGAAATTGTCAGAAACGATCCAGCGGAGAAGTCAGATCAGAGTTGAAGTGATGGCTGCAGATGAAGGAAAGGTGAAAATTGAAAGGTTCGATGGTACAGACTTTGGCTTTTGAAAGATGCAGATCGAGGATTATCTGTATCAGAAAAAGCTGTATCAACCTCTCACAGGAACAAAGCCAGAGGGCATGAAAGAGGACGAATGGAATCTTCTCGATAGACAAGCCCTTGGAGTCATCCGATTGATGTTATCCCGTAATGTTGCTTTCAACATTGCAAAAGAAAAGACCACGGCGGATCTTATGAAGGCTCTTTCCGACATGTATGAAAAGTCGTCTGCTTCAAATAAAGTTTATTTGATGAAGCGGTTATTCAACCTTCGGATGACAGAAGGCGCATCAGTAGCGCACCACATAAATGAGCTCAATACAGTCCTAACCCAATTGAGTTCAGTTGAGATTGAATTTGATGATCAGGTACGAGCATTGACACTTTTGTCCTCTCTACCAGAAAGTTGGAAGACTACTGTCACAACTGTGAGTAGTTCGACGGGAGACACTAAGTTGAAATTCAATGACGTTCGTGATCTGATTCTCAATGAAGAAATCCGATGAAGAGAGTCAGGAGAATCATCAAGCTCTTCAGTATTGCATACAGAGTCAAGAGGAAGAAATTCAATCAGAGGAAATGGACGTGGTAAATCAAAGGACAGGAAGTCCAAATCTAGAAGTCATCATAGTTCCCACAAATCGAAGGCAATCGAGTGTTGGAATTGTGGGAAATCCGGGCACTACAAAAATCAGTGCAGGAGTGCACCGAAGAATAAGGAGGCGAAAGACGAGGCAAATGTTGCTTCCACCTCTGGAAGAGATGATGCGTTGATATGTTTTTTAGAGAGCAAGGAAGAGTCTTGGGTGTTAGACTCTGGAGCATCTTTTCATGCCACTTCGCAGAGAGAATTCTTCAAGAACTATGTTCCCGGAAACCTTGGTAAAGTTTACCTTGGTAACGACCAATCATGTGAGATTGTGGGTAAAGGTGTAGTGAAGGTTAAGTTGAACGGGTCTGTATGGGAATTGAAAAATGTCAAACATATTCCCGACCTGACAAAGAACTTAATCTCAGTAAGCCAGTTGGCCAGTGAAGGCTACACAACAGTCTTCCACGGTGATAACTGGAAGATTTCAAAGGGTGCAATGGTAATTGCTCGTGGCAAAAAGAGTGGCTCTTTATAAGACAGCAGGAGCATGTCATCTGATTGCAGTTGCAGCAAATGAAAATCCCAATCTATGGCACCAGAGACTAGGCCATATGAGTGAGAAAGGGATGAAAATCATGCACTCAAACGGTAAGCTACCAGGTCTTCAGTTAGTAGAAATTGACATGTGTGAAGACTGTATACTTGGAAAACAAAAACGAGTCAGCTTTCAGACAAGTGGAAGAACCCCAAAGAAGGAAAGACTCGAGCTTGTTCACTCTGATGTTTGGGGTCCAACATCTGTTCCATCCATTAGTGGGAAGCAATACTTTGTGACTTTTATCGATGATCACTCCAGAAAGGTATGGGTATACTTTCTGAAATATAAGTCTGAAGTATTTGAGGCTTTCAAGATTTGGAAAGCTATGGTAGAAAATGAAACAGGATTGAAGATTAAGAAGCTCAGATCCGACAATGGTGGTGAATATGTAGACACCAGATTCAAGAAGTTTTGCTATGAGCACGGGATCAGAATGGAGAGGACCGTGCCAGGTACGCCTCAACACAATGGTGTAGCTGAGCGTATGAATCGAACGTTGACTGAAAGAGCCAGAAGCTTGCGTGTGCAGTCAGGCTTACCAAAGCAGTTCTGGGCAGAAGCAGTCAACACAACAACTTACTTGATCAACCGAGGTCCATCGGTACCATTGGAGCACAAAATACTAGAAGAGGTATGGAGTGGAAAAGAGGTAAAACTCTCACATCTTAGAGTTTTTGGCTGTGTAGCATATGTGTACATTAATGATCAAGGCAGGAGTAAGCTTGATCCCAAATCAAAGAAGTGCACTTTCATCGGTTATGGTGAAGATGAGTTTGGCTACCGCCTATGGGATGATGAAAACAAAAAGATGATCCGCAGCAGAGATGTAATCTTCAATGAAAGAGTGATGTACAAGGACAAGCATAGCATAATCGCCAACAATGTAGAACAGATTGAGCCAGTGTATGCAGAAGTGGATGATGTCCCAGAAAATCCTATAGTTGAGAATCCTCAGTCAGAGGAATCAACTGAAGAGAATAGTGAGCAGCAGTCTAACACATCAGAGGCTCCTATTCCAACTCCTGTATTGAGAAGGTCCTCTCGGCCCCATGTGCCTAACAGGAGATACATGAACTACATGTTGTTGACTGATGGAGGGGAGCCTGAAGATTATATGGAAGCTTGTCAGACCATAGATGCTAGCAAGTGGGAGCTTGCCATGAAAGATGAGATGAAGTGTAACATCCTCGTTTTTCCTAAACAGTTAATTTGTTAATATAGTTATAATTTAGATTATAATTCTTCAATTTTTGGAAAAAAAAATGCTCGTTTATACCGGTTTAAATTGCTCTATGAGGATAAAAATAACATTTTTAATCTAGAAGAATTATTTTAAATAATAAAAAATTATATTTTAATTAGAAATAATATTTGGAGTGTAAAAATAATTATTTTGGTAATTATTGCTTATTTTTGAATTTTTGGTCAATACTGTTTTATGTGTTCACAGGAACTGTGTGATTATTTTTTTTTCTTTTTTCCTTTTCTTTTTCTTTTTAAGTGATAACCAAAGAGATATTGATGTCAAAAATTATGTTATAATTATTTTAATTGTTTGGCATAAATTATTTTTATTTTTGAGTTTTATTCATAATTATTTTATTTAATTACATTAAAATAGTAAAATAATTGATTATTATATTATTATTTCTTTATCTATTTGACTAAATTGACCATTTTCTTACGTAAATCTTCTTCTTCTCCAAGTCCATAACCCCTTCTTCTTCCTTTCACCATTTTCATTTTCTTCCACTCATTTAAGCTTGTTTTAAGGTATGTTTTTAATATATATCCTTAATTAAGCTTAATTAGTTGTTAATTATCATTTCATCCGATTAAAATTTTAAACTTTTTCTATTTTTGGCTGTCATGAACAGTAAAAATGGGTCTTACTTTACTTCAAAATTATTGGTTTTTAAACTTACTTTCTTTTGTACTATATGTAGACTATGCATGGCTTATATTGTTTACATAATTAGTTTTTCAAAAATGTGATTAAAAAGCACTAAACCCTCACAAGGGTTGGCTGCCATGTAGTTTTAGAGAAGGTGAAGTGAGTGTTTTTCAATTCCATTTTATTCTTTTATATTAGTTAGATCATAGAAACTAATTTTGTGTTAATCGGACTTTTATAGCAAAAGTTAGAAAATTTCAATTTTTACATATACATATAAGAGTATAAAATTAGCATCTCCTTAGTATTAATTATGTTTAGGCATGATTAATTGATTAGGTTGATCGTTTCGAAGATTGGATTGTTCGAGTTTTCTAAAGAATCAGAAAAAAATTCATCCATATCTTCATCAAAGAATATCCGTAAGGTAAGGGGTGGGATAATTTTATTTCAATAGGTGGCATTAAGAACCATAAGGGAATGATTCTCTATTGTTCTAATCAAATAATATGAATTTGGGTTGTTTTAGAGCTATCCCATAATTTTTAAAAGATTTTGTTATAGCACTTGACATGTGTGAAAGGTTGCCTTAGACCAAGAAATTGATTGAACAAGGACTCTCCCTTATATGTAAGGTCTTTTGTGTATTTAAATTAATGTATTGGAATGATTTATGGTTGAAGTGCTGTATTGAAATATTTCTTTATAATTGGTTGAATTTTCATTATGTGCTTGTGTAGATATTCTTGTTGGTAGGAATGCCATATAATAGTAAAGATTGGAAGTAATATAGTTTCATGTAGTGTGAGCATATAGATTAATATAATCTAAATGTCCATTAAGACTTGTTGGAAAGAAGAAAATATGTTTTTAAGGTATATATATTTATAATTATGTATTTTATATATAGTACAAGTATCTTTTGACTTCTTTTGAAAATA